CTTCTTTCAAATTAAAAATGCCTGCTCTTTGAAATATATATTAAAGAAATAAAAATGTGAGCCATAGACTGGACGAAAAATATATATATGAGATATGTATTTGTTTCTGGCCTATACTACGCAGATAATCCAACAAAAGTATGTTCATACTTCAATGATCAGATGTACTTTTTAATGAAACTTAGATTTTAAATAGCAGCACCTAGTGATCCTAGAAATCATGTATTAATAACTAAAACAACGTTCTTACAATGAGGCAAATGAGTGTCAGAGGGCAGTCCCATTACCTGTTAGCGGATCTCCGAATTTCCAGGAAGGCACACTTTCCTTTCAAATGCTCTATTTTCCTTTGTAGACATTACAAGGCTTTAAAATCCGGACATAAAATCATACTTTTATATGACAGCCTAGGACTATAATGTTTACAAACAAGAATGTATTTTTTGGCATGTAAATAACCTTCAGTGCTTCCTTGAAGAGTCTGGATGCCAACACAGTTGCAGGCTTCACAGCACTTCATGGGCCATTTTTAATTTCACATGTATAATTTAGGTTATGACTTTAATTTGAATGTCAATTTCACCAAGAAGGTTATTACTTTTGAGTCAATCATCAAACTGTACAAAGTCTTGTTTAGAAAGGATCTCTCCTAGACACAAAAGTGTGTGTGTGTGCGTGTGTGTGTGTGTTGTGTAATGAGTGCATGTTATCTTTCTTTGACAGGTATTACTACTCAAAACAAAGCATATCTTTTACCACATATTGCAGTGAATAATTTTTTTTAAAAAATCCAACTTCTGTGACTTTCCTGTTCAACATCCCTTTCTTGATTCTAAATAAAATGACTACCGAAACATGACACCAATATTTTATCCACGTATTTATTTCATTCATAAAATTTTTATGCATAAAAATCATTCATCTAAAATCAGTGGTGTCATTCTCACCACAGAAAGGTTCACCTGTCAATCTTAAGTATAATAATTTAAGAGCAGATTTCAAACAGTTTTCATTTCCAATGTGCCCTTGGAAGATTTAAGAAACCAACTAACAATTTCTAATGCAAACCATTACCATTTAGTGTTATAAATTATTCAGTCATATTACAATGACAATACAAATTTTAGAATAAAAAAATCAGAGCTATTTTAAAGATTGTTTGTTTCAGAACAAGAAGTTGAAATCTATTTATAATAAATTAGGCTGAAATTAAAGTATCTCCTAGATACCATGCTGTCAATACCCACGGTTGTCTTTTAAAAATACAAAATCCCCTTTAAAATGTGACAGTTATACACTATAATACATCTCCATGTGCCTTTACTTGATATATCTTTTTCCATTTCTAAAATGGATATCCTAATACCTATGATGCAAAATACAACGACATCCAAATTCAATCTTCTTTTTTCAACTTGCTAATCTAAGAAATGAAAATTGGTTTGAGAACTTTCAAATACATGTAGATATATGTATACACGAGCATATGCATTTAGACAAGATACGCACTTATAATAAGTTTCAAGTAGCCAACTGAGATTTCATAATATCGTAACTACATCTCACATAGTATGTGCGTACGCGCGCACACACACACACATATAAGCCAAGACAGTCTTACCATACTCTTTAGATCTACAAAACAAAGCATTTGAAAACTCATTCAAAAACATACTGAAAGTTTTGAATAAAAGACTTAAAACAGAATGTCTTGGGATATGATATAGAATATTAATGACCTAACTTATTCATTATTATTATTACAATTAATAGGTACTATGATACCCTCTAGTGGGGCAGGAAGGTCATACCTCTGGTAATAACTTTCAATTGCTTCCGAAGTATGATGCTTGGCATGTGTTCTTTTAATGTGTTTCTGAAAAAATAAAAAATAAAAATCTTTGTTATGTCACAGATGAGGTTCAAAACAAGAATGACGTAATTTCTTGAGCCCAATGACTAGCACATAGGGAACGCTGAATAATACCTGGGGAATTTTGGTGATGGCAGGACTTCTTTTCCTTCTACTCTACGAACCTATGCATTTTAATCTCCATTGCTTGGCTGGGATGTCTTCAGACTGTACCACGAGGTACAGTATATATGTAAAAGCCAACAGGGTCATAGTAATTGAATCTAAATAAGTTTGCTTAGGGCTACAGAGGGCAAAGAAAAACTTGTTCCCTCTTTCAACCTTTGTATTAATTTTCCCTCGATTCAATTCCATCTAAGTCCTCTGCACTCTAGTTTTACAATCCAATTGCCATTTTAAACCAGGAAGAACATTGCTTAAAAACAACTTATTTGAAAACTACAAAAAGTAATTCCATAGAGACTTGCCACTTGACTGACACCTGTCATCTCATGATAAATGACTCCATTTTCTGCCTCTCTTGCCTTCTGCCACTCCAGCAATGGTCATTTATCATCATCTCTGTCAGCAATGGAAAGCGGCACTGACAGTGCAAGTCAGCAAACATTTAGCACATGGAACCACGCAACACAGGGAAATTATTATTGTCAGAATAATAATGGTTTAGCATAATTTATTACAGGTCCACCAAATAAGCAAAGGCTAGATGTTATTAGACAGATGGATGGGTAGGCTTGGCAGGCCTCCACCGAGACGCAGGCGGTACTTGATGTGGAAAGGAGAACATCCTCCAACCCAATCAGAGAGCTGGCAGTTCAATTACAAAGAAATAAAGGGACATTCATCATTCAATTAGGCACCTGTCAACCCTCACAAAGGAGAAAACTTCTAACCTGGTACTCCTGGGAGAAGATGCTCAGCAGAGTGGCCTGCGATTGACTGGAACAAATAAAAGAAGGACAAAGTTAATTACTGGAGTGCACGGCAAAGAAACAAAAGAGAAAGGAGCTTCAAAGGTAGGCCTGCTGCCCTGTAATCTAACAGAACATGAAAACAAGTGTGGAAAAGTTGTTCCAGATGAACACCTCAAACAAAGGCTTCCTGCTGCGAGGTCAAGGAGAGAGAAAAAAGGAAAGGGGAAAATATGGATGGTCTCAAAGCAACTATCACATTATTTGGATGTTTTAAACTTTAGGATGATTGTAAATCATATTTGTAGAATGCAATGGTGTTAAAAGGGACCACAAGAATAAGTGACACAGCTCAATCTCATAAACAGTAGAGAACATGCACTTCATTCATTGACAACGTTCTGAAATTAATTTTGTTAGCAGACAGGTATCCTCCTCTACAGCTATCCCAGTTTCAGGGGGAAAACTTTGGTCTCTACTAGAAGTAGCACAGTGACCACTGGAACATTTCCACTGACAGTGGTGCGCTATGAAAATAGAAGCTTTCACAGCAAGAGGCAGAGGTCCTTGGAGTGAATTGTTCCTAAAAACTGCCCTAAGCCTTATTCATCTAAGACAACACACAGTGTCAAACACCTGGCAACGAAGCAACCTGAAAAACGTTCTTCCCAAGTGGGAATCTTCCTTTTGCAATTGTTAGCATTTAGAAATGGAATGGAATTTTTCTTTCTCTCAAAAGCAATCACTATCCCACTGCTACTCTTTTCGACTGTCCTTTATAGACACATCTAACTTATCGTATCTTGAGAACAAGTATTTCTATTTTCCTACTAAAAATGCTATCTGAATAGATTACATTTTAGATAATTCGACTTTTATAGTATGCCAAAGGACTGTGAATAAATTTTTTCTATTTCTAAATGAAAAAACCTCTTTAGCTCATCACAGGTAATTTAGGGAATGTGAAATAAAGTGACACCAGATTTGTTTACTCATTGTCTAGATGTCGTCATCTTCTGGATAACATTACAGATTTGGCTTCTGACACTTTCCACCCTTACCAAATTACAAGAGGAGGTTAAAAAAAAAAATACCCTAAATGTTCACCAAGGAAACTGATATATTATTAAAAGAATATTTCAATAACTCAAGAGTACAGAGAAATGATTAAGTACAATCATCAATTCATTACACTCTGGTTTTTTCAATTTCCCTTTAAAACTGAAAAGCACCTTTGAAAGAGGCAATTTTATATAAAATCTTCCTATTTTGCCTGGTTTGACCGAGCTTAACACCCAAATCACATACCCTAGTAGGGTTGCTGACAATAATCTTCTGGGGTGGGGGGGCGGGGGGAGGAAAATTGTGGCCCAAATCTTTGTAAACCACTTAATAAATTAATGTCAGATATTTACGTGCCATAAATAGACCCCCTCCTCATTGTACAGCAAAATGCATTTATGTTATTAACCATTTAATGGTACACAAAATGTCATTCTTTATGCTTCAAAAAAGATGATAGAAATAAATGTATTTGGAATGAGAAAGTCAGGGACAAATGACTAATGAAAAGAAAACTAAACGGTAAATAAAACATAAAGTGTAGATGCCCAGAACGGGAAGAGGCAGCTGGAAAAGTAAGTTCAAGAATAAATACTTTAGGCCGGGTGCGGTGGCTCAAGCCTGTAATTCCAGCACTTTGGGAGGCCGAGATGGGCAGATCACGAGGTCAGGAGATCGAGACCATCCTGGCTAACACGGTGAAACCCCGTCTCTACTAAAAATACAAAAAACTAGCCGGGCGAGGTGGCGGGCGCCTGTAGTCCCAGCTACTCGGGAGGCTGAGGCAGGAGAATGGCGTGAACCCGGGAGGCGGAGCTTGCAGTGAGCCGAGATCCGGCCACTGCACTCCAGCCTGGGCGACAGAGCGAGACTCCGTCTCAAAAAGAAAAAAAAAAAAAAGAATAAATCCTTTAAAACGAGAAGCTGGTCAAGAGTTGAGAGTACTGTATAAGTCAAGGATAGGACAATGTCTTCAGCTAGAAAAATGTCTTCAAACTGCTTAGAATTCAATTCAGCTAAAACCATGGACAGAGCCTGCGAAGCAACTCAGTTTTTCTATGGCCGAGAGGGTTAGAGAGATTTTTGCCAGCTTACACTGGGGGTAAAAACTGGTTAGAACTATTAATAAAAAGAGAAAACGACTTACGTATACATAGTAACGACAGAAAGAGAGACACGGGTCCAAAATGTTTTGGTTTTAAGTAATTCAAAGCTGTAGAGAACAAAGTGAACTTTGTTAGGTAGTCTGCCAGCCAACTATGTGTTTCTGTATGTGCTAACCTTGCAGAAGAGTGTTCTGACCACATGTCACACCACAAGGAGTAGGAAAGTAGTTTTAATACAACCAAGACATTGACTTCAGTGTGTATTACTTGTACTTTCTTCCAATGTGTTAATGCTGAGAAGGGACAATGGAGGGAAAGACTGGGCATGTGGGGAGAACAGAGTCTCATGATCTCAAGGCTATCTCTCACCACCTCCACCCTGCCCACAGTGTACCCTCCCACTGTGTTTGATCTGTTTGGCCAAGGGGAACAGAAGTTATAGAATAAATTCAATTTTCACTAGGTTCACAAGAAATGTGGTTTCCAGCTAAAGAGGAGAGGAGAAAAAGATTCTGTGCAACTGAAAGGTCTACCTTGAACATCGGAGTACATCATTCAACAGTACCACTGTGCATCTACAATGTCCCAAGGTAACATGTATGGGGAAATATGCCATCAGAATCAAAATACTAAATAAGGTGGACAGGAGTTGATTTAGAAGAAACTTTCAAGTACACACACAAAAGTACACACAAAGCAAAAAAGGCAAAAAATTAGAATGCTGTCAAGTACTCACATTTTTTTAATACAGAATGAAGTAAATCATACCCTGAATCCTTACACTTTATATTGCTTAGCATATATGGGGTTTTAAATTTACAGAATCAAAAATGCAGTCATTTAATTTGTATCAAATACCCAGGATGTAGTATTAAAACCCCATCTAGACAGTTTTGCTTGTATTTTTCCCATGCTATCTCCCAGATTTAGCTCCGCACCCTGCAGCTGTCTGGGTAAAGGAGAGCATGGGAGTGGACCCAAGGAATGGCTAGGTAAAACCCTGTCCAAGTCTGGAACAGCAACAGCCACGCTGCAGCAATGTGGAAACAGGTCTGAAGGAAAAACTAGCACTGTGAGGATGGCAGACAGAAGATGGAAAGAGCTTGGGTCCTTGAGGACACTGTGGAACTGCTGAAGAGACCATGGAATTGAACTGACCAGCCTCCCTTCTTATTCTGTGTAATTATACATGGCTATTTTTTTTAAATCTCCAAACCAAAGAAATAAAACTCTTCCCAGGCTTCTGTGTTCTCCAGTAAGGTGGAGGCGTGATAAAGAGCTCTGAGACAAGGTGCTCCAAAATGGTGCCACAGGTACAAGATGGAACACTTGAGAGGGGTTGTCCATTTCCGTAATTTCTAGTTCTCCCCTTAGCTGATGGCGATAATTGGCTTCCCTAAAATTGTTCCTCTGTCTGTCACTGACTCACTAAATTGACGTGCCTAGAGATCGTAAACTGGTGTGTGATTTTCCCATATAGAGTTGAAACATTAATGGGGTACTATTTGTTCTCATGTTATATTGCATTCAACATTCTTCAAATCCCTGATATAAAAACAGGCAACACACTAGTTCCTCATGTGATATTTAACTCAATGTGCTCCCAAGTCCACCCAGCTAAGATACTCGGTAACATGAAAGAGCCTCAGAGAATTGGGAGAGTGTAGCTTAGATTAAGAGGAGAGCTGAGCAGACTTAGTTGCAGTGCAACATTCATACAAAGGTGAGGTCCTTATGTTTTCAGATGGAGGCCTAAAAGCATGCAGAACCTTAAGAGAAGGCATCACGCATTTTATGTTCCTCCTCTTCTTGAGTATGCAACCTCTGAAAAAGACCATAAGGAAGTAAATACTTTTACCTTAAAGCTCTTTTTCTATAGAATCTAGGAAGCGTAAATGTGTACACTCTACTGGGTTCAACACTCTCTGAGAAAAATAAATATTATTTCTGGAGCTTGAGAAGCAGCAAACCAATTAAAGAGAGATAAAGCAGGATACTCCTACAAAGCATTATAGTTGGATATACTTGGACATCTCACAATTGCTAGGCACAACCTCTCTAAATCTGTGAAGAATACAATGGAACACCGGCTGTCTGTAGTTAATGATTTAAGAGTGCTAGTCAAGGCATATTTTCTATAAAAGCAATGCAGCTACAATCTCTTGACCACCCCCAAACCCCCTGCCCACACACATACCACACATAAATTTGAAATGTAGAGCCATTTCTCCCTTTAAAATTAAAATAGAATTCAACAATACTACCACAAACTTTGATATAATACTACCACAAACTTTGTTTATTTTTTAGGAACACAATACAAAATGGAAATCTGGAGGGAGATTACTGATAATCTGGGAAATTACTGAGGGGGGAAAAGGGAAAAATCTGTAAACTAAGTTCCAGACATAAAGAAAAATGTATCCATCCTGTCTCCCACCCTATGTCTTCTCTTCCTAATTTCCAACTTCATATCAAGGATGCAAACATTTTGTGCCTAACTACAGCAAATATCCCCATAAATGATTAGGTAGATGGCCAACATTAAGCTTAGTTAGTAATCAACTATTTTTAAAAGTTCTCAAAAACTATAGGTCAAATATATGGTTGAACATCAGTATCTGTTGGGGGGGATTGGTTTCTGGACCCTCATGGCTATTAAAATCTGTGGATGTTCAAGTCACTTACATAAAACGGCACAGTATTTGCATATAACCCATGCACATTCTCCTGTATAATTTAAATCATCTCTTGATTACTGATAATACCTAATACAGTGTAAATGCTGTGTAAACAGCTGTGAATACTGTATTGTGTTTTTTTGAGGGGGGTGGTTTTTTTTTTTTAGACAGAGTCTTGCTTTGTCACCCAGGCTGGAGTACAGTGGCGCAGTCTTGGCTCACTGCAACCTCCACCTCCTAATTCAAGCAGTTCTCCTGTCTCAGCCTCCGGAGTAGCTGCCACCACGCCCGGCTAATTTTTGTATTTTTAGTAGAGATGGGTGGGGTTTCACCATGTTGGGCAGGCTGGTCTCCAATTCCTGACCTCAGGTGATCCGCCCACTTTGGCCTCTGGAAGTGCTGGGATTACAGGCGTGAGCCACCATGCTGGGCTTGGTTTTTTATCTGTATTATTTTTTGTTGTTGTAGTGTTATTTTTATTGGATTTTTTCCCCCAAATATTTTCAATCCATTGTTGGCTGAATATGCCAATGTGGAACCCATGGATACAGAGGATGAGCTGTATATATATGAAAAAAGTGGTTACTGCTCCAGGCTTTCAACTACTTTTGCTGGCAAACTGAAGATATATCCAAATGGCTTTATAACTACCTTTGCACTTAATTTTATCCCCACAACAATCTTCTGAGGTAGGTACTACTATCCTCCTTATTTTAAAGATAGGGAAATGAAGGAAGAGAAGTTAAGTAAAATACACAGTTAAACAGCTAGAAGAGCAGTAGACCTGGGAATCAAAATTTACATCCGATTCCAGAGTTGAAAGTCTTAATCCCAATGCCAATCTGCCTTCTTAATAGTTCCCAGAAATGGGTTCTGCAAATCATGTATGCTAATATCCCTGCTTAAGCATTTATGTGATGTTACATTATACTCCAAACAACCCTGAAATGTGGGGCATGTTGCTTTTTTGCTAGAAAATTGAAGTCACAGGAGGTCAAGTGTTTTGACCAAATTCCATGGCTTTAGACATTATTTCCTTTTTAAGAAATCAAATTGCAGTTTTTCTTTAACTTCATAAAAAAATGTTGTTCTTTTATGTTTTTAAAGTTAAAGGAACTACTGACTGCAGGAAACAGTCAAGGATTAAAAGACTGTGTGGTAATTTCCATTATTCTCCCTGCAGCGAAGGTATATTTTAACCACCACTATTGCCTGAAGTGTCTCCATCTGATTGTATATATCTTTTGCTCAAATGTTATTCACTTCATATTAAATATAAAGCAGCTTTAAATCTTTCCCTGAACCAGGCAGGCAAATATAAATAATACAATCATCTTCTCTATAGAGGATACAGGGGCCCCCTGTAAGTGTTAATTTTATAAAACAACATTCAATGAAGAGTTTCCTAGTTATCAAATGGTGCATCTTCTGTATAAAATTCATATGTCTACTCTTAGAATTCATTCTGGACTATAATTTTCCTGTGTTTTTGCTCTATGTCTGATGTGTATGAATCTGTTTGTGTGTATCATCTATATACACACACATACACGTTTAAAAATTGTGTTAAACATACTTTTTTGTAACATGCTTTCATTATATAAGATACTTTTACCCATGTCATTATATATTCCTTAAAAATTATTTTTATTGGAAATAAAACACAAAAACACACATGGAACAAATGCACAGCCCAAAGAATTAATATTTTTTTTAAAAAATATAACCTTTGGGAGGCTGAGGCGGGCAGATCACAAGGTCAGAAGATCGAGACCACGGTGAAACCCCGTCTCTACTAAAAATACAAAAAATTAGCCAGGCGCGGTGGCAGGCGCCTATAGTCCCAGCTACTCAGGAGGCTGAGGCAGGAGAATGGCGTGAACCTGGGAGGTGGAGCTTGCAATGAGCCGAGATCACGCCACTGCACTCCAGCCTGGGCGACAGAGCGAGACTGTCTCAAAAAAATAAATAAATAAATAAAAAATAACCACTTAGATTAACAGTCACTGCCAGCACCCCAAAAGATAACGCAACCAATCACTACCCTCCTTCCCTCTCACAAATGAGCCACTTCTGATCTTTCCTTGTTTTTCTCGATAGTTTTACCACCCAAGAATGTACCCTTAGGTTCTACAGGTTAGTTCTGCCTGTCTGTAAACTTCGTATTAAGTGTATTACACACCATGCACTCTGCATTGAGCTTCTTTCGCTCACCAACATGTCTGTGAGAGCTAGCCATGTTAATGTAAGTGTAGTTAATTCATTTTCATCACTTATAGTATATTCTATCAAATGAGTATCAGCCAAATTTGTCTATTCTATTGTTGAATATTACTACTGTGGACTCACTCCTGGGTGAGACTCTTGGTGTATATGCACATGCATTTCTGATGCGTATAAATGTAGGAGTAGAATTCTGGGCCATCTGATATGCACCCCTCCACTTTAGCAGACACTGTCAAACAATTTTTCACGTGTTTGTAACAACTTTAAACTCCCACCAACACTACAGAAGAGTTCCCATTGCTGCACATCCTCATCACACTTTTTCTCAATCCACGGCTTGTCTTTTCGTTTTCTTTGTGGTGCCTTTTAAAGTACACAAGTTTTTTATGTTGATGAAGTCCAATTTATTCTTTTGTTTTACTACTTTTTGTGTCTTGTCTAAGAAATTTTTGCCTACCCACATTCATGCAGATATTTTCATACATTTTTCTAGAAGATTAATAGTTTTGGCTTTTACATTTAGGTCTATAATCTACCTTCAATTAATTGTGTGTGTTAAGGCGGGGAAGACAGTTTGTTTTTATTATTTCCATACAAATATAAAATTGATCATACACGTTGGTGCCTCTAAGGAAGCCAAATATCTGAGAATCTTATTTTGGGACTTTCTAATCTGTTCCACTGATTTGTATGTTTATCTTTACATAGATACCACACCATTTTGATGACTGTAGCTAAACCAGGTACATTCGATGAAAGTACTGATATATTCAAGTTTAAATCTATCATCTCACTAAATGCTATCATCTTATCCACTATATGTACCGTTGCTCTCCATTCTTGTGTACTTTTCAATTGATTCAACGTTTATTTGCTACTTTTCCTCTTGCAACTTAAAAGTTACATGGTCTTTTACTATTCTTTTAATAATCAATCTAGAAAACCATGTTGCCCCCTCAATTTATCAAAATCTATTATTGATGGGTGACTTATTGCTTCCTGGAAAATATAAAAACATTACAACACTAATGAAAGGTCTCCTTCCTGGAATGTAGGATATTACTGAAATTGTTTTAAGTCTGTATATTTCTTATCTCAAAAGACACTGCTACTATTTCATATATCTCTGCTTACTCAGATTTACCCACATATGTACCATCTCATTGTTCTTCATTCCTTCCTTTCCACTCTTTCATCTCCATTACGTTCTTTTGTTGTTGTTGTTTTGTTTGTTTTTGTTTTTTCTTTTTGTTTTTGTCTGAGACAGAGTCTTGTTCTGTCACCCAGGCTGGAGCACAGTGGCGCAGTCTCAGCTCACTGCAAGCTCCACCTCCCGGATTCACGCCATTCTCCTGTCTCAGCCTCCCGAGTAGCTGGGACTACAGGCACCCGCCACCACGCCCGGCTAACTTTTTGTATTTTTAGTAGAGATGGGGTTTCACCATGTTAACCAGGATGGTCTCAATCTCCTGACCTCGTGATCTGCATGCCTCGGCCTCTCAAAGTGCTGGGATTACAGGTGTGAGACACCACGCCCGGCCCATTACATTCTTTTAATAACTCCACCAGTGCAGATTTGTTGGTGATGTCAGGTAACAGTCAAATTGTGGCTCTTTGTAATCACAATCTGTCTTATTCTTCTACCTGGCTTTAATATTTTCTTTTTAAGAATTTCAACTATAAAATCCTGCTTATAATTTGCTGGACTTCAATATGTGGCTGCATACCTTTCATCATTTTGGGAATATGATCGATCATAATTTCATCAACATTGCTTTTGCATTCAAGCTCCTCCCCCGAGACTCCCAATGAATCTGTCAGCCTTCTCTTCATACGTTCCACCCTTTTGTTATTGTATGCTACATTCTGGTATTTTCCTGTGACCCACCTTCCAGTGCACTAATTCTCTCTTCAGTA